TATATAAAATTGTGAAATATTATTATGATGTAAAATAATTATTACAAAATAATTCATACATACAATATAATATTACAATAAAAAAAGAATCTACTTAAACAGATTTTTAAATCGAATTTATTGCTGTTATGACAAAGCTGAATTTTCAGCAGCAATTACTCCAGTGTTTAGTGTCACATTTCTTATTATTATCAAAGTTGCTTAATATTTTTGATGCTGCTTAATTATTTGATGATTAGAATGTTCAAAAGCACAGCATTTATTCACTATTTTCCACTAAATCAGTTTCTTCACAGTGCAAAAAGGAGGCAAGATATTCATCACTTTCAGGGCAGCAACACTGGATAAAAGACATGTGGGGCAAAGAAATCAGGCAACATTCCCACAAACCTTGATCTGTGTCCTCTGTTAAATCAAAATTAAAATATTCTTTAAAAGAAATACAACAAATCATAAAGGAAGAAGAGGAAAAAGTAGAACAATGAAAAGGTTGGAGCCTTTCTAAACCTAATGCCTGTACTAAACAGATGTAGTGTTAGTCTTCCTTAAACTACAGAATTACTGTAGTAGAATTAACATCTACTTATTTGACCCTTAAATTACTTGAATTCAGTGGAAGTTATATAACAAGTTCAATCTAATTGGAGTGATTCAACCATTAGTCACACTGCCTTCGTAAAGCCAGAGGTAAAAAAGAAAGATGAGGAAAGGATTTGGAGAGAAGGAGAGGAGGAAGAAGAAGAAGAATAGAAGAGAACTGGACTAGACTGGAAAAATGAGACGGGGCGAAATGGGTGGATAAGCGAGAAGGTCGCACGGAGAGATCCGAGAGGATGTATGTACCTTTGAGGCTGGGGAATGGCGTGTTCTTCTCTCGAGCTTTATTAGGCAGAGCCAGACTGGACAGACTAAAACTGGTGCCATGGTTTTTATACAGGTTACCTGCACACATACGATTAAGGTGAGACGTACAACAGGGAACACACATTTCTGTGTAACACTGTGTCCTAACTACACGCGACAAGCAATTTGGGTGCCCACACTAGACGTGACGTGGCACCGCGACCTGACAGAATCAATCAAATATCACAGCCAATCAGAAGCGTGAGTGGGCGGGCTCTCTCTGGAAGCGTTCTGCACTCGCAACGAAATGGATAAGTTTATAATCCAATTCATAAATATTAAACCTTTTTAACATTACTAAATGTACATACTGAGTGACTGATACCATCTTTGTTATGGAATACGCTTGTTGGTTCGCAGTGAGTCACAGTTTTAACGGACATTTTTGCTTTAATTTATTATTTGAGGTAAACTGTCTGTTGTTGCTTTAAGTATGTCTATAAATGCCACGCAATATGATAGTCAAACTCACATTAGACACTTTTAACATTGAATAAAGCACATAATCTGTATTTGAGATTATCACTTTCATTAGTTTGTATGTTGTTGTTCTAGCCGCGACGTCGTGGAAATAGAAACCGTTTCTAAAATAGAAATTTCATGTGTCGTCGTTGTGGCTAGTTAGGACAAAACCTCAGATTAACATGGAAAAGATACCTTTAATCGCATGTCGCGGCGTCGTGTGTAGTTAGGACACGGTGTAATGCAGTACCAATACCAGACATTTCAATAGTCAGTGTCAATACCAGTGAACTTTTACAATGTTCAAACCCTTAGCAAATGCTAAAATTCCACTGAAGATATTCTGATATTTAAAAAGTCAATATTAATATACACCATTGCTCAAAGCTTGTTTTGGAAACAAGGCACCTATGCTCACCAAATCTGCATTCATAAAAAAAATAATAATAATAATAATTATA